ATCGAGGGCAGAGGCGCAAACGACGGCAAGGCCGAAGTAATGGACGGCATCGGCGGGACGTAGGACGGCGTTGATGGGATCGAGGGCAAGGGCGCAAACGACGGCAAGGCAGAAGTAATGGACGGCATCGGCGGGACGTAGGACGGCGTGGCTGGGAACGACGCTGGCAGCGAGACAGGCAGGGGTAGCGATGCTATCGAGGGTTCCGTTGGGAGAGAGATCGGCTCGGGTCCTGGAGGGAGAGACATTGGCAGGCTGCCCACGGGAAGCGACAACGGGTCGGGTCCGGGTGGGGCTTGCGGGAGAGCCGGTAGGCTGCCGATCGGCAAGCCGTAAGAGTTTCCGTATGGGTCAAGCCGCCGCCGCTGCCAGGCGTGCTTGTCTTCGCGGGGCGCACCGCCGCCTGGAAGAGGGAAGCGCGCGATGGCGAGCTCCAGGTCGAGGTCGAGCTCCAGGTCGAGGGCGAGCTCCGGGTCGAGATCGTCGGGGCCTCCGAGGTTCGGCACGAGGTGCGTCGCGCCGCCGAGAGCGTACACGGCCGCCTCGTAGCCCAGCGAGGCGGCGGAGCCCGACTCGGGGAGGGGCTCGCACGTCTTGAAGAAGGCGCAGACCGCCCACAAACTGCTGTCGTCCCGCGAAGTCTCAAAGACGGTGCAGTCGTCCGTCGAGGCGCAGCGGCGCGCGCACTCGACCTGGGGGTTGAAGGGGGTAATCTCTCACCATTCTCGGCCCCGATTTCCCGGCAGCTAGGGTATGTGCTTCACAGCTGTGCTGCCTATTATGATTTGCTGTGTTCGCAGTGGTGCTACTATCACGATTTGCTGTGTTTAGCAGTGCTGTGCGGAGATGCGCGCCAGCTGCGCCTCCCACCACAGTGAGAACGCCTCGTCGCTCGCGCCGCGCATCTCCGCCATGTCCATCTCCATCGCGTCGCCGACTTCATGAGGATCTTGGTTGCACGCCGTATTTGCCAAGTGAAGGTGAAATTGCGGCGACGGGTCGCCGTGCGCTGCCGCAAGAAGCAGAGGAGCGAGGACCAACATGGGGTGCCGTCGGCGTGGCCCTCGTGGTTAAGGTCCGCGGTCGGGGGGGCCCTACAAATTGTGTCACGCTTCTCTTGTTTCTTTTCGACTCCGAGCTACGTTACGCTGACCGCACCCGGACCCGAGACATACGTTACGCGGGAAGGGCCAAGGCGCTAGGACCTGCCTGCCAGTGTGCGGTAGCGTATCATACCTTCGCGAAATCGCGGACGCAAAAAGACAAAAGGCGGGCAACGCATGGACATGCCACGAGCGCGGAGTCCGAAGAGGCGCGCGAGAGTCAGCAGGGGGAGAGACCGAGACTTCATGTAGCGAGGCGGCCGCGTGCGCCTCACTCGTATCACTCGTCCGCGCGCAAGTCCTTGACGGTGACGGCCTAAATTAATAAATTAATCAAGTATTAATTAATTAACTCGTCGTGCGCAGGTCCTTGACGGTGACCGTCGCGGGAAAGGGGTGTGGTGAGCGGTGCGCGGTGCAGAGGAGTGCGAGGCTGTTGCAGAAGTGGCAAGAGTCGGAGAGGTCAGAATGGGAGGTGTGGGAGCGGAAGAGAGGAGAGTGTGAAGAGTTGGTCGCCTTTTGGACGAGGCCGTCGAGATCGAGGAACGCCATCCGCACCTGGAGACAGCGGGAGGCGTGCTCACGGAGGTGTCTCGGAGGTGTCCCGGAGGTGTCTCGGAGGTGTCTTGGAGGTGTCTCGGAGGTGTCTTCGGTCCCTCTCTCCGCGCACCGGTTTGGAAAGGTTTGGCTGCACGCGCTTGTAGACCTGGTCGAGGTCCTGCTTGCGGACGCCCTGCGGGATCTCGTTGCCTACGGACAGACAGGCTCCGGCAAGGCTCCCGCAAGGCTCCCGGCAGTCCCGCTGCCACGCGGAATCTCGCTCGCCGTGCTCACGGATGAGCTTGATGATCGCCTTGATCGCCTCGAGCGCCTCGCCGTCCGAGTCGGAAAACTCGAGGTTCGACAGCTGCTTGCGCCACGCCTATGGAAAGGCGCCGAGAGGGCTCCGAGAAGGGTCTCGGCGCCGATTCAGCTGCTTTGCGTCACGCCTTCTTGTAGTCTTTCTGCATCGCCTGGTACCTTGCCCGCTTCTCCGCGGCCTCGTCGAATCCAGCCTGCACGCCAGTCAACTCCGCCGCTGTGCTCGCCAACGCGGCGGCTGGGCGCAGCGCGGCAGTGGCGGCGGCTGAGGCGGCGGCAGCAGAGGCGGCGGCGGCGGCCACGCCCCTTCCGAGCGCGGCCCTGCGACCCTCCGTGGGCACGAGGCGGAGGGCACGGCTCGAGTGCACAGCGAGGGCGAGGCAGGCGAGCCGGAGCAGGCGCATCACGGTGCGGGCGGAGATGAGGCGAGCCCAGTGGGCAAGCCCGACCAGCGAGCTGTTTTGCGGCAGAAAAAATTCGCCTGTTGAAGCGGCCCTGGATGTGAGGCTACTGACTGCACTCCAAGTGCTCCAAGTGAAGTGCTCTCGTGCTCTGCCCTAGGTCGCACAGAGGGGCGCGGTGCTGCAGGGCGGCAAAAATCTATTCTTGCTGTCCTTACACGGATCTTACACACAGCGCACTGTGTTTGCCCAAGTACGCGGTAGCCACCGGCGCACGCGGCACGGCTCATTACCAACCACTCTCCCGCGCCTCCCTGCGGCCGTCCCCGGCTAGGTGGCACCATGGCGGCCTCCGCACACTCTCTTCCACAGCATCGTGTCCGCGCCGTACATCTCGCGCACGTACGCGCTGCTCTCGTCGCTCAGCGCCTCCCGCCGCGCGCTGTGCCGCGGCCTCCGGCACCGGCTGCAGTTGTGCGTCACATGCTCGATCGGATGGTCGCTGTCGTTGAGGCCCGACCGCGCGACGAGGGCGGACCAGTCGTCCGCCATCGTTTCGGTGCACAGAAAGTGGACCCGGTGCGTGGCGCAGGCGAGGCCGCGAAGGTAGTAGTGGCAGAGCGAGCGCTGGAAGAGGGGGGCGTAGGTGCGAGCCACCAGCCCGTGGTCTGGGTCAGAAGGGTTGCGCAGGGCGGCGACAAAGTCGTCCGCGCTCCGCCGCCACGGCTGCGTCCGGTGGTTGCGACACGACTGCACGCCGGAGACGAGCCGCGTCGCCGGGTCTCGCAGCGGGACGAGGAAGCAGCTCGTCCTCCGCGCTAGGTCCCTGCATTCGGGCGGGGGCGGCAGAGTCAGAGGGAGGGGAGAAGGGCGAGGCAAGAGGCCACAGCAAGTGCTGTCTCGCCGCTGAACCCGAATCTTGCTCTCGGAATCGTCCGAAACAGTGTCTCAGAAGGGTTCACGCCTGATTGCCCTCTTGTGGTCGTGCCGGATTAGAGCGCTCCCTATTCGTCATCTCAGGTATCACCTCCAGCACCTTTTGGTGGTTCAAGAGGTGCTTGGCTTGCTCATCGAGGCGTAGCGATGCGCAGGACACTACTGGACTTGGCACGCGCCTCCACTCAGCGATCCCATCGCACCGGCCAGAGACCGAGAGCCTGTCAGAGGGGCAGCGCGGGGAATGCACACGCATACTCTGAAGGCCTGCAGCGCTCGAAAGGCAAGTGTCCGTGACTACGTAGATCCGTGGATGATCGCGGATGTGACTGCATCTGCAAGTCGTGCTTCGTCTCTTTCCAAAGGCCTTTCCCATCCATCTATCTACGGCTGCAGACCGCTCCACGGCGGAGCGAGGTTGGCGCAGTTGGAGAGGCTGCCGCTGCCTGAAGCCTGCTGTGCGCAGGAGGCTGGGCTGGCGGAATCAAGCAGTGGCGCGCACTCGCCGAGCGTCCTGCTCAACCCCCACGCATTGGCCATGTCGGGCAAGAGCGCGCCCAAAAGTCGATACCCGCTAGTATGTATCACGCACCCATGTTTCGCTAGAAAGAATTTAACCAGGGGAAGAAAAGGAGCGGAAGTGTGCCGCAGTGAGTGTGAGTGTAGGTGCCGAAGTGTGCTGACCAGGTTCTTATCTACTCACAAACTTCCGCAGCGTTTCCCTGTGAATTCGAATCGGAGTTAGGTTAGGTAGGAAGTGAAGAACAGCCAGGCTCGGACTGGGCAGTGGGCACCAACGCGGTATGGGTGGACGCTGGACAGATGATGACGACACGCACGAGCGACACACAGACACAAACAAGCTCACAAAACACACAGCCAGCTCGTCGGAGTCCGAGGGAAGAATTCTTGAAAGAAAGAAAATCTTTTCGTTCGCTTCTCCCTTGGGCTGTTCCATCTTCCCATCTCCTTCCAGCTCAGGCGAGGCGGGGGGGGGGGCGCGGGTGCGGGGTGCGGTGCGGTGCGAGTGTGTGCGTGTCATGTGGCCACAGCAAGTGTCCATCCGTCTGTATCCGTCTGTATTAATATTAACAACGAAGGCGCTCTCAAAAAAAAAGAAAAAGACCGCGGCTGCGTCGCCAAGGGGCCAAGGGGGTGCCGACGAGGTGGCATATCACACGGCGCCAGCGAACTACAGCGCACTACAAGCATTTTCCGTAGCCTCCATCAACCAGACCTCTGAAAACACATTCCGTAGGCACCATGGGAGACCTGGATGAAGAGCCTCGCCACGAAGGCGCCCGCCGTGTCAGCAAGCAGGCGAAAGCGTCGCTGCCACCCTGTCGCCACCGCCAGCCCATTCATGTTCACACCCGAGCCCTGCCGGCCCTCCCTACCACGCTGCCTGCTGCTGGAGCTGAGCTTCCGACGAGAGCCAGTGTCACGGCTCAGCGGCAATACACATCTTTGGCTGCCGCCCTCTCTGGCGCCCGCAGATCCCGACAGACCCGTTCCTTCAGAGCCACCTGCGGCGCAAATGCTCCGCCCAGCGACTCATTGGTCGTTTCTCGCCGCGCAGATGCTGACCGATATCGAAGACGCCTACGACGCCAAGGCCAACGCGCCCGATTTCAAGCAGCAGCTCCACCCGCACGGCCGCATGCCGACCGCGAAGGAAGCCACGCCAAGATGCAGCCGAGATATAGCCGAGGCACAGCAGAGGAGTCGGGGTGGCCGCTGCCTCGCTTACTCCCAGACTACCTCCTCCCGCGCCGGTCAGCCTCTCTTGACGCGCCTCTCCCCCTTTTGCGAGCAGGAGGTGAAGAACAAGGCCTTCAAGCAGGTTGCTGAGGTGGCGGTGGCGAACGCGGGTGTGGCGCCGTCCGCGAGGCGGGGTGGCGCATGCCCGTAGGCCAAGGAGGAGGCGGAGGAGGACGCCGAGCCACGGTACGCAGGCAGGTTGACAGCGTCGCAGAGCTGCGAACCTTCCACGCACCTTGTCGGAACCTTCCTGCAGGTACGGAGGCGTCTTCAAGGCCAAGGAGCTGCCCGCCGTCGACACGAAGCCCATCCTGGACGAGGCGTGGCCATGCGCCGAGATGCGGCCGAGATGCCAGACGCGAGATCAGCCGCGATGTGCCGGTGCATCGGCGGACCGTCCTCGAACCTGCCTCGAGCCCTCTCGGGACTCTTTTGCGCCACAGGAGTGCCACAGCCGCTGCGTCAAGCCGTGGAAGGAGTACGAAAAGT